CCGCGGCTCCCAGGGCGGTGTCGGGAGCAGCCCCGCCCCCACTCGAAGCGGGGGCGGCCCTGGGCTCCGGGATTATCGACGCGCCGCCAGCTGGAGCGGGCTCGGGCGGTGGCTGCTGCGGGCGGGGTCCCCGCGGGAACACTCGGCACTTTATTAACCTGTCAGCGCCTAAAAGGTCCCAAGCGGCCTGGGGGAGGGGACGGAGGCCGGGACGGGGTGGGGGCGCGACTGGGGGATTTGCACCCCCTCCTCGAGGCTGCCCCTCCCAGCCTGCGCCGCACCCCGGCGGCCGTGCCCCCTCCCTAAATCCCGCCTCCGACCTGGGCCTGGAGCCGCTTTCCCCCGCGGGTTGCCCGTTGCCCCCGGAGAGAGTTTGGGGTCGTCCCTCCAGCGCCCGTCCCTGGCCGTGGGGCCGCTGGCTGGAGTCTCTGCCCTGGGGGCACCGCCGCCGAGGCCGGCCCCGAACCTCGCACTTTCCCGTGGGCGCGCCTTTGCTCGAACTGGTCGCCGTCCCCACGCGCCATCCGCGCGTCCGACCCCATCTGCTTCCACGCTCGGCTACAGTTTTGCCTCCGTTCCCAGTGGCCGTCGGGGCCCTTCTCCCCTCCCAGGGCCGCCCTGGTGACCTGCGCGTCTTTCCGCTTCCCAGGGGTGCCCGGTACCTCCCTAGACACAAAGGCGCTGCCCAGACGGGGGGCCGAAAGTCAAGCGCCACAGGGAGGGAGGGAGGGCGGCGCTGGGGCGGGTGGGGCTTGAGAGGACCCGACAGAAACCCCGTTGACTGCCTGAGCAGCACACCTCCTTCCCCACAGCGGGGGGTGGGGGGTGGGGGTGGGGGGACCCAGGCCAGGACAGGCCCTTTCCCCCTCTGGGCCTCAGTCTCCCCACACGCAGGGGCCGCTGGGCGGAACACAGCCAATTCCAGAAATGTTTACGGAATGAACAGATCCAGGAGCCCGCCAGAGCCCCTGCCGGGTTCAGCCCTGCAGACTTGGGGTCTGTGGGCGCCTAGAAGTCAGCAGAGGTCAGGGTCAGGGCAGCCTGGACATCAGACCCTCTCCCTGTGATGTTTCTCAGAGCTCCTTTACCCCAGCCCCATCACTCCCAGACCCCGGGGTTGCCCAAGCCTGCATAGCTGAGGACAGTCTCCCGCTCTTTTCTCCCCAGCTTCACTCCCCTCTTCCCCCTCCTCCCTCCCCTTCCCCTTCTTCCCTCCCCTCTCCTCCCTCCCCACTCTTCCCTCCCCTCCCCTTGACCCAGGCCAGACAGCCCTTTCTCTGGGCTCTGCCCCCACACGCAGGCTGCTGGGCGGAACACAGCCAATTCCAGAAATGCTTACGAATGAACAACAGATCCAGGAGTCAGCCAGAGAGCTCCCTCGGGAGCGCGGGTTCAGCCCCTGCAGACTTGGGTCTGTGGGCGCCTGTGGCTAGCAGAGGCCGGGTCAGGGCAGCCTGGACATCAGACCCTCTCCTGTGATGTTTCTCAGAGCTCCTGCTCCCAGCCCCATCACCTCCCAGACTCGGTTGCCCAAGCCTGCATAGCTGAGATGTAGTTCTCGCTCTTTTCTCCTCAGCTTCACTCCCTCTCTTCCTCCCTCCCCTCTCTCTTCCCCTTCTTCCTCCCTCTCCTCCCCACTCCCTTCCTCCTCCCCTTCTCCTCTTCCTCCTCCTCCTCCCTCCTTTTCACCTCCTTCCCCTCCCCCTCCCTCCCTCTTCCTCCTCCCCTCTCCTCCCTCCCTCACTCTTCCTCCCCTCCCTCCCCCTTCTCCCTCTCTCCCTCCCCTCTCCTCCTCTCTCCCCACTCTTCCTCCCCTCCCTTCTCCCTCTTCCCTCCCTCTCTCCTCCTCCTCCTCACTTTCCTCCTCCCCTTCTCCCCTTCCCTCCCCCTCTCCTCCCTCCCCCACTCTTCCCCTCCCCTCCCTTCTCCTCTTCCTCCCCTCTCCTCCCTCCCCCACTCTTCCCCTCTCTCCTTCCCTCTTCTTCCCCTTCTCCTCTCCTCCTCCCCACCTCCCTTCTTCCCTCCCCTCCCCTTCTCCTCTTCCTCCCCTCTCCTCCCTCCCACTCCCCTTTCCTCCCTCCCCTCCCCTTCTCCCTCTTCCCTCCCCTCTCCTCCCTCCCCTCCCCTTTCCCGGGCCTTAGCTTTCTCTTCTGTGAGACTGAGGGGAGAGGCTGCTGTGGGACTCAGAAGAGGAGGTGCCTGACACACATCCCAAAACGATGAAAAGGACGTCCCTCAAAAGACAACTGTTCCCTTGGCTGGGTGCGGTTGCTCACGCCTGTAATCCCAGCACTTTTGGAGGCCAAGGCGGGTGGATCACCTGAGGTCAGGAGTTCGAGGCTAGCCTGGCCAACATGGTGAAACCCTTGTCTCTACTAAAAATACAAAACCGGGTGTGGTGGTGCAGGCCTGTAATCCCAGCTACTTGGGAGGCTAAGGCAGGAGAATCGCTTGAATCTGGGAGGCAGAGGTTGTGGTGAGCTGAGATCGTACCATTGCACTCCAACCTGGGCAACAAGAGCAAAACTCCATCTCAAAAAAAAAAAAAAAAAAAAAAAAAAAAAGACAACTGGTCCCAACCAGATTCCCCCAAAAGATGGCTGGTTCTGGAGAGACTTGGGGGTCAAAAAAGGGGGAAGATCCTGGTTCTGCAGCTCAGAGCAGCTTCCCTTGGCCACATGCTGGAGGGGCCTCCCCACCCTTACTTGGGGGACTGAGGCCAGTGCAAAGATCCCCATGAAAGGCATTCCCCCGCTCCTCCACCTTCCCTCCCCTCCACTGAGAAACAGGCAGACCAGACTCTTCCACCTTCCCTCCCCCTCTCCTCCCTCCCCCACTCTTCCCCTCCCCTCCCTTCTCCTCTTCCTCCCCTCTCCTCCCTCCCCCACTCTTCCCCTCTCTCCTTCCCTCTTCTTCCCCTTCTCCTCTCCTCCTCCCCACCTCCCTTCTTCCCTCCCCTCCCCTTCTCCTCTTCCTCCCCTCTCCTCCCTCCCACTCCCCTTTCCCCCTCCCCTCCCCTTCTCTCCCTCCCTCTCTCCTCCTCTCCCCTTTCCCCGGCCTTAGCTTTCTCTCTGTGAGACTGAGGGGAGAGGCTGCTGTGGACTCAGAAGAGAGGTGCCTGACACACATCCAAAAACGATGAAAAGTGACGTCCCTCAAAGACAACTGTTCTCAGATGCGTTGCTCACGCCTGTAACCCAGCACTTTTGGGAGGCCATGGGTGGATCACCTGAGGTCAGGAGTTCGAGGCTAGCCTTGGCCAACATGGCGGTGAAACCCTTTGTCTCTACTAAAAATACAAAAACCGGGTGTGGTGGTGCAGGCCTGTAATCCCAGCTACTTGGGAGGCTAAGGCAGGAGAATCGCTTGAATCTGGGAGGCAGAGGTTGTGGTGAGCTGAGATCGTACCATTGCACTCCAACCTGGGCAACAAGAGCAAAACTCCATCTCAAAAAAAAAAAAAAAAAAAAAAAAAAAAGACAACTGGTCCCAACCAGACTCCCCCAAAAAGATGAAGAAGGCTGGTTCTAGAGATTTGGGCACAAAAGGGGGAAGATCCTGGCTCCCGTGCCTTCCAGCAGCTTCCTTACTACACATGCTGGAGGGGCTCTCCACCTTTTTTACTTAAATTTGAGGGTGCAAGATCCCCAAGAAAGGCATTCCCCGCCTCCACCTTCCCTCCCTCCACTGAGAAACAGGCAGACCAGACTCTTCCACCTTCCTCCCATCCACTGGAGAAACAGTGCAGAGACCAGACTCTTCCACCTTCTCCCCTCATCCATACTGAGAAACAGGCATCAGACTCCTTCCACCTTCCCCCCCATCCACTGAGAAACAGGCAGACCAGACTCTTCCACCTTCCTCCACTGAGTAGTCAGGCAGCATCCAGACTCTTCCACCTTCCCCCTCATCCACTGAGAAACAGGCAGACCAGACGCCTTCCACCTTCCCCATCCACTGAGAGAAACAGGCAGACCAGACTCTTCCACCTTCATCCACTTAGAAACAGGCAGACCAGACTCCTTCCACCTTCCCAACTACTGAGAAACAGGCAGACCAGACTCTTTCCACCTTCCCCATCCACTGAGAAACAGGCAGAACAGACTTCACCTTACCTTCCCCCCCATCCACTGAGAAACAGGCAGACCAGACTCTTCCACATTCCCTCCCCTCCACTGAGAAACAGGCAGACCAGACTCTTCCACCTTCCCCCCATCCACTGAGAAACAGGCAGACCAGGCTCCAAAGGGGCTCCTCCCTCAGCCCCCACTGTGCCCCAGGGAGACCCTCAGAGGAAGAGACCCTCAGGGAGGAGGCCCAGCCCTCCCATCCTGCAGGAGGGAAGGCCGAGGTGGAAGGGCCAGTCCTGCCTGCTTCTACTACTGCCCCTATAGGAGCACTCACCTGGGGGTGGGGGTGGGGCGCATACAACTTCTTTCTGCCCTCTGAGGGGACTGTCACCACTGTCTTCTCTTTATGGCGGCGGGGGGCGGGGGGATGGGGGGAAAGCAGGGCTCAGAGGGGTCGAGCCCCCAGCCCGGGGTCACACAGCAAGTTAGAAGAGCCAGGACTGGAATCCAAGCTGGAGAGACTTCCGTGACCATGAGCCTGGTCACCCTACCAGCCTACGCCAGCATCCCTGTCCTGGGGCTGGTGCCAGCTACAAGCTGTGAGTGGCACACACGGCCCACCCTCCACCCCCATCATGCTCTCTGGACATCCCAACCCCTACCTCTCCCAGGGACAGGGTGTGGAGACCCCAACCTCCCCGCTTCCATCAGGAATGGACAGGCTGTTCCCCCACCTCCTTCCAGTGCTCCTGAGCATGGCCAAGATCCAGGGATAAAGACAGCCCAAATTCATACTGGGTGCCAGCCCAAGCAAGGAACTAGGGAGGACCCAGGGCCCCTCCAGGGCTGCCTCTCAACATTCACAGAATGTTCCCCACACTCAACACCCTCCCCCAACCCCTGCAGCCTCATAAAAACACGGGCCTTCCATTGACTGTAACTGACAAATTTATTGAAGTCTTGGAAAGAGCTGATCACCCGAGAATAAATAAAAGACACAGAACATTCACAGAACCAGTAGGTAGCTCGAGATTCAGGTTTGTGGGAGTGACTTTGACTTACACACAGGCCAGCCTTTGTGTCTGGGGCACACACAGCTGCAGGTGTCTTCCCAAAGGATCTGATGGAGGAGGCAGGACAGGCTCAGAGGAGCCCCACCCTTCTCCAGTGGGGAGACTTCCCAGTCTGGGGCAGGCAGAGCCGGCTCCAGCAGGGAGGGCAGGCTGTTTGGCAACGGACATCTGTGGGTGCAGCCTGGACACCAAGGGCCTGGGGTGGACTGAGGAGGAGACCCTGAGGGGCTTAGAGAATTGAGCTTGGAGAGAAGGGACCCCAGGCATTTTTGCCTCCTCCACAGGGTACTCAAGAACAGAAAGATCTAGAGACCTGGGGACTGGGGAAAGCTGCTCCCGGGGAAGGCGGGGCTGGAGGCAGGGAGGCCCCCCACAGTCTGGGGAGAGGAGGGACGACAGGTGTGTCCCCATCCCGCAGCCTCCTGCCTGGACAGGCAAGGCCAATCTCTGACCTAAAGAGGGAGCCTCGGGGTGACGGCTCCGAGACATACGGAGCCTGGGAAGTGAAAGCACGATTATGATGATTTCTCAGTTTTAGAGATGAAAGCGTTTTTTCGGCCCTCGGGCTATGCCGGGCTGGGCTGGGCCTCAGCAAGGTGACATTTTATGTCTAGAAACAGCAGCAAGTGCTCGGTTAATTATCAATAAAGGGGAGAAATTTGCTTACAAAAAAGGCCGGCTTGCTGGGCGGCCACCTGGCGGGCCAGCCCCTGTGTCAGAGGAGGGGCCAGGCGGGTCCCTCAGCCCCCAGGGAGGGAGCTGTGTGGTCAGCAGTGGGAGGCTCGGAAGGCACCAGCCCTCCCTTGATGCCCTGGCCCCACTTCCTCAGAAACCCCCAGCATCCCCACCCACCCAGGGGCAGCTCCCTCATGTCCGGTGCTGGGTGGAGCTGGGCCTGGGTCAGAACTGAGCGTGGTCCACCTCGTCCAGCCAGGAGGCGGGGCTGGCAGGGAAGTCAGGGTAACCCCCGCTGCTCCCCGTGGATAGGTCGGAACTGGGTCCGTTCCCTGCCAGCACCCTCATGGGTGGGGGCCCGCCGGGGGCTCCCGAGGGCACAAGGCCCAAGCTGGTGTCTGGGTACACCAGGCTGGAGAGGAGAGGCTGGGGGCCAGGGAGGTTCTGCGGGGCGGCGGGGGATGGGGGGACACCGTAGGGGCTGCCCGGATGCAGTTCTCGGTACTGCTCTGGGCCTGCCAGGCCTCCATGCTCCAGTGCGAAGTTGCCCAGGGCTCCCGACGGCCGGCCCAAGGCGGGTGTGGGTTCCCCCAAGCTCCCGTAGAGGCCGTTGGCTGGGCCCATTTCCGCCAAAGAAGGCTCATCTGCAACAGAAGCAGAGGCTCAGTCAGCGACCGCCCTCCACCTGCAGCCCCTCAGAGTCCCATCCTGCAAGCAGAAGCACCCCTGGGCTGAAGCAGGAGTGGCTGCCCCACGCCACATGACAGGTCAGCACAGATCCCTTCTGCTCTTGGAAGGCGTGGCTGCCTCTGCCCCTCCACTGCCCTCACCCCTGAGTCAGCCCAGGTGTCTCAGGCCTGGTGGGATCAGTCAGGAAACAGCCCAGCCAGGGCCCAGGCTTTCAGGACCAGCCCCACAGCAGCCTAGGGAGGGGGCACAGATACCACCACACACATTTTGCAGACAAGGAAATTTAGTTCCAGAGAGGATGAGTGAGTAGCCCAGGTCACAAGGCAGCCCAGAAGAGAATGTCTTGCCCACACTAGGAGGATGGGCATCAACGGATGGGGACACAGCATCCCCGGTGCTGGAGAATGAGATAAATAATCCCGGCCCCACAGAAGGGTATGGAACCTTCTCTCCCTGACCCCAGGTAGCCCCTTCGCGGTCCTCCCCCACTCCAAGCAGCTGGGACTTTGACTCAGTCTCTCCCAAAATGCGCTGCCCATTCTCCTAAAAATCACTGCAAGGGCTAGGGGCCAGAGAGACGGTCTGGACACGCCCACCACCTCGCCTGAGAAAGCCCAGTAGGGGCCCAGCTTGGGGACAAGTCGGGCCACAGGGATTGTGTCCCAACCAGGGGAAAAGCAGTGGTCCGGAGTGGCCAGCCAGGGCGGGGAGGGTGCTGGGGATCAGGTTCTTAAGTGAAATGTTTTTGAAAGTACAACTTAAGGAGCCACCTAACCCCATGGGAAATTCAGATCCGCAGGCCCCCTGCGACCCCTCTGACGCGCGCTTGTTCCTCCCCGAGCTCCGCGATCCCCCCGCCTACCGGGGAAGGAGACCTCGGCGTCGCTGTCCTGTCCCTCCTGAACGCTGTCCTTATCCGACTTGGAGCCGCCGCGAGAGCGCTTCATGTTGCGGAAATACTGTCCCCAGCGCTGCCGGCCGGCGTCCTTCTTCAGCCTCTTCTCCTTGGCCCGGCGGTTCTGGAACCAAACCTGGGGGCGGGGCGGGGTGAGCGGCCGCCCAGCTCTGCGGGGGTCCCCAAGGCCGCGGGCGGGAGGGGAGCGGGGGCAAGCGCTGACCTGCACCACGCGCATGTCCAGGCCCGTCTCGGACGAGAGCTGCTCGCGCACGTGGCGCGCCGGCTTGGGCGAGGTGTTGTAGGCGCTCTTCAGCGTCTCCAGCTGCTTGGCGGTGATGGTCGTGCGCGGCCGCTTGGCCGTGGCCTCGGCCTCTGCGCGGCGGGCGAGCGGTGAGACGCGGCGGCCCCTCCAGCCCCAGCTGGACCCCCAGCGCTCCCCACCCTGGCCGGCGCGGGGACATCGGGGCTCCAGGTGCCCACTCCCAGCCCGCCCCCACGGGCTTCTCAGAACGCGCGGGCGCTGGGAGCGATTGGCGAAAACGGGCGGCACCCAGGCCGGGGTGGAGGGGGCGCCGGTGGAGGGTGGGTTCTGCTGCGGGGGGTGGGGGCGGCGTCTTCCCTAAAATCACACCACCCTCCACGGCGCCCCGGCCTTCAGCCTTGGCCCCCCTACTCCAAGTACCCTGCTTTCCCCCGCGGGCTCCCCTTTATTCTAAGGGTATGGGTATGGCCCAGTCTTCGTGGCCAAGAGTTTGGGGCAATAATTCCGACCAGGGGTGAAAAGCCTCACACTTCGGACCGAACGAAGCGGTTCGGGGCGCGGGTCTGTCCGTGACTCCGCCGCTCCCGGCCTCGGCTTCCTTCTGCCCGCACCGCCCTAGCCCAGGTCCCCTTAGTGAGCGCTTGGGGTGAGCACTTCCCCGGAAGCCCCCCCTGGACCTGGCCTCAGCCCCATTTTTTCAGACCAGAAAAGGTGGGAGCGTCGTCCCCTCGGCTGACCTCGCTGCTTGGCAGTTTCGTAGTCCGCCTTACACACCAGCCGGCTGTCCTCCATGAGGTAGAACTCGTCACCCGTGGCCAGCTGCCGCTTGCACACGACGCAGGCAAAGCAGTGCAGGTGGTACACGAAGTCCTGGGCGCGGCGCACCACCTGCGTGGGCGGGATGCCCAGCTGGCACGCGGCGCACTTGGTCCCGAAGCGCCTGCGGGACGCATAGGGCCCGGCTCAGCGCGGCAGGGCGAGGCTCATTTCGCCCCGAGCGGGTCAGAGAGCAGGAAGCGGGTGCTTGGGGAGGTGGCCCCTGAGGAAGGCTCTGTGTGGCCCTGCAGGTTGGTTGCCAGCCTGGCTTGCGGGGCAGAGCTGTCCACTCCCACTGAGAAGGGAACCTCAACCTCAGGAAGACCTCGGGGAGCCCAGCCGCCACTGCCTGCAGGACCCATGCTGGATCTGGGAAGGTGAATCCGGAGGGAGAGGACCCATCTGGGGCTGGTCCCTCACACCCCACGGCTGGAGCCATGAAGGCCACTGGGCCGGAGCCCCTGGGTCCCGAGCATTAGGGATAAAAACACCACCAATTTCAGAGGGAGTAAGTCCGATAGAATTCTACAAACTTGGGCGTATCTTCTCTAATGCCTGCTTCTGTGATTTAGGAAACAAATTGTTTTTTTCCAAATAATACTTGCTGATGTCCCAGCCAGGCCCAGCCACCCAGGGAGCACCCATGGAGAGGACCCATCCTTAGTTTGGCCAGGCCGCAGGGTGCCCTTCCTGGGTGACAGGACGGGGCCGGGATTGTGAGAGACTCGGGCTTCAAGGGCCTGGCCTCGGTGATTGTGAGGCGAAGAGTCCCTGGGGCAGGCGTGCCCTCTGCTCCTACACCGAGGCCCTGGGGTGGGGGGACTCCAGGCCGCCTTTCCCTGGGACGGGCGTGCCCTCCGCTCCCACAGTGAGGCAAGGCTTCGGAACTCACTTGAAAAAGTCATCCTTGCAGTAGACACTCTCCCCTCGGCTGAAGCAGCGCTCGGCCAGTGGCGTGTGGCAGTCGCTGCATTTGAGGCACTTGCTGTGCCAGTGGCGGTCCAGAGCCTTGAGGATGAATCGGTCCAGGATGTGCTGGTCACAGCCGGCGCATAGCGGAATCTCTGTGGGCACAAGGAAGCTCTGGGTCACCTCCTAGACCAGGAGGCAGTGAAGCCACTTTCCCATCCCAACGCCAGTCAGCCTCCCCTCCAGCCCGCAGGACTGAGGGCTGCTGTGGGGTTCTCCTTTCCCTGCAGGCCCTCTTTCCCAGCCAGCTTAAGTGGCCCCGCAAGTTCCGGGAGTGCATAGGCATCTCATCCTATGGCAGGAACTAAGGGGAAAGTGGCATCAGTCTAAAAATGTGTGTGTGTGAGCAGGAAAGCAGCCCAGGCCATTTCATGAGGCTGAATACTCAAGTACAAAATGTTGCCAGTGCCAAGAAGGGTGCATGTGGAGCTCAAATGAAAACCCCACCCCAGGCCTGCTATCTGAAGCAAGGCAGGAAACATAGGGAAACGGGTCTTCACCATCACCCAGAGCTGGGGCACGCCACTGGGTTCTCCTTCATATTAAGCATCATGACCACTCTTTCTAGGGACTCCTCGAAAATGTAGCTGCCCCGCCTGGTGGCCCTGTCTGCAGGCCTCTGGGGTAAATATCAATGCCTTTCCCATCACTGGGCGGCCGCAGAAGTACTTATGAGTGGACTGGACAAGCTGATCCACTGCCTTTGTGTCGGGCATGGGTGCCCCCAGCACCATTAGAGTTACTCAAATGTCCGGCTTCCCGCTGCTTCTGCCCCCCACACTCCACTTCGGGACTGCAGGCCCCCTGGAGGAACCACCCTGGGGAGGTCCAAGGGTGCCCTGTGGGAGCCTGGAGTCTGTGAGTGGCTTTTCCAGGTGTCAAGGGCTGAGGACTCCCTCTTCACTTAGAAAAAGTCTCTGGAAGACGGGAGTGCCCGCTGAAGGGACCGGGACCTACTGCCCTATTGCACCCGCCTCTCTGGCTGTGGACCCCGCCGGCTCCAGCCCGTCTCCCAGTGGGTGAGAGACACCGGGAAGGTGCTCCCTCGGCCTCTGGCGGAAAAAACTGGGCTCCGCCTCCCCTCGCAGTGGCGGGAAACCGGCGATGAATGCGCCCCGCATCCGGCAAAACCGCAGCTCCCGGTGCGGAGCATGGAGGACCCGCCGCGCGCCCGGGGTCCCCATCGTGGGCAGTGATCGCAGGGCGGCTAGGACCCGGCATAGGCCCACACAGCGCGGATTCAGCACCGCGGACCGGACAGCGCCTCGGCCGCAACGCACCGCCGGAGCCCGCGTCCGGCAAAAGCCGCCCCAGCCCACCCCGCGCCGCGCCCGCGACCCCAGTCTTACGCTGCATGGCGACTCCAGCCCCGGCGGGGTCTCCCGCTGCCAGGGATGGTGGGGTCGGAGGAGCCTGGACGCCAGCCTGCCCTCTCCGGCCAGCTCTCCGGGGCGCAGGGTGCGCAGCCCTCCTCCCTCCCTCGCTCTCTCCGCCTCCCAGCCCCCGCGGTCAACCCCTCCCAGGAACCGTCGAAAATAAATAAATAAATAAATAAATAAATAAGTAGGGAACCGCGAGCCCCCACAACCTGGATGGAACCCCCTCTTCCCGCCGGTCGATCCTTCCCACTCCCCACTGGCTCAGGGGCCTCCTTCCCCATCCTGCGGCTCCAGCTGGGCTGGGAGTCGAAGAGAACTGCCCAGGTTCTCTAAGAACCAAAGTGCTGGGAGCTAGAGTATTTCCAGCAGGAAACTGGGGGCCTCGGAGGACCGAGGCTTTTTCCTACAGACGGGCCCTGACCGGGGATAAACCGAGCAGGTGTCTGTGGGCGCAGACGCTGAAACCTGACTTCGGGGAGACCGACGGTCGGAGTTCAGCTCGACCTTGGCCCCTGCATCTGACTCTGTTCCGCTGGAAGGTGGAAACAGTCCGGGTGGGGCGGCCCTCTTGGGCACCCTCCGGTCCTGTGGTCACTGCCCTGCCACTGCTCCCTGCGCCTCGTCCAGCCCAGGGGGTCGGCTCAGGGCTGCAGAAGTCTCCTAAGCCCACCCTGGACCCCCGAGAGCTCCCTGGCCTGAGCAGTGCGGTGCCACAACCTCACTCACTCCCTGACAACCCAGGCCAGGGGCCCCGAAACAAATTCAGGCCGAGGCGCCCAGGCGCGGACGTTCCGGGGTCCTCGCACCCACTCCCGCCCAGGTCCTCTAGCTCCTGCCAGCCTCCGCGGCCAGGCCCGGAAACGCCCGAGGATCTCCGGGTCTCCCAGGTGCAGCCGATCTGCCCGGGCACCCACCTCGGCGCAGGTCCGCCCTCCGCGCCAGTAGCGCTAGCAGCAGGTCGCCGCCCGCCGACTCCCGGGCCGGGCCCAGCTCCCCGCGCGCCTCCATGGGTCCCGCCGCCCGGCGTCGCCACTCTCCGGTCCCGAACTTTCTCGGGCCCGGCGACGCCACCCCGCAGTGGTCCCGAACCGGCGTCCAAGCGACTCCCGGTGCTGCTGGGTGCTGAGCCCGCGGGCCGCCCTGGGGCCCGGAGCCTCTGGCCGAGCGGAGGGCGGAGCGGCCGGGGGGCGGGGCCGCGGTGCGGGGCGGGGCCGGGGGTCGCGGAGACCAGCCCGGGGTGACTGCGGACTCTGCGCGCCTTTGCGCCGGGGCCTGCGGTGCCCAGAGGCCGCCCCGCGTGCCCGGCCCGAGGGCGGGCACCGGTAGGGGAGGGCTCAGGTCAGAGCTGCCCGCCAGCGTTCGTCCCGGCCCCGCAGCTTCCTGCGCAGGAGCGGGCCGAGGGCAGAGGCCTGGGCTGGAGCACACGCCAGGAGGGCTAAGGTTCCCGGGAGAGGGGTCGAGAAGGCAGCCGGGTCCTCCCGCCGCTGAGGTTTGGCCTCGGGAGCCGCAGATGGTCGGCAGGAGCTCAACCCGAAACGCAGAAGGGGTGAGTGTGGCGCCGAAGGCTGCGTACGGGAACTGCAAGGTGCCCGACCGATCCCAGATGTTAACGGGCTTCTGGGCTCCACCCCTGGAACTGCGGCCCCGGACTGGGCTCAGGGAGGAAGGGCAATCCTTGAGTGAGAACAGGCTGTGTCCTGGACACGCAGCCAAGACTTCGGGTGGTAGGGGGCTGAGCTGGGGAAGCCCTAGGGCACACCCTCCATTTCCAGCCCCTAGCCTCTGGCTCCATCGGAACAGGGTCCCTTACCTGGTATTCCAGCCCCTTGCCCCAGTCCACACAGGTGAGCTCTCCAGAACCCACGCTGTCCTTGCAGGCAGAGGGATGCACCCACCGCTGCCCAGAGGGCCCTGGGCCAGCACCAGCCCTGGGCAGCCACCCGGGGAAGAACACAGCAGTGGGCGGCCCTCGGCAGCACAGGACATGGCGAAGGCAGGGGGCCCTGGCAGCGCACAGAAACACCCAGGAAGGGTTGGGGGACCAGGGGCTGATGCCATCCTCCAGGTCCCTCTCCCTGTGGGTTTCACAGTAATACTCTGTCCACTCTGTCCATGGCTTCTGGACTGTGAGCTTTAAGGGCCCAGGCTCACAAGGATGGGCAAAAGAAACCACAGCCCCTCCTTCCCAGCTCCCAGCAGGTCCAGTGTGTCCGTTCTGAGCAGTGGCCCATGCAGCCCTCTTTCTGCCCCTTCACTTTGCATGGCACTTGTTACCCGAGAAGGGCCAGGGCAAGGACATGCGGGCGCAAAGCCGAGTGTGTGCGGGCTGTGCTGGGTGCAGGTGGCTGAGCGTCAGCTGCTGCCGAAGGGAGCAGGGGCCGTGTGTGGCTGGACCAGGGAAGGGGCGGCGGCAGGTCAAGGAGGCAGCCCACTCTGCTGGCATCTGGCCAGCCCTCCAACAATGCCTCCATTATTTCCCAGCGTCTGTGGTGATGGAATGGCCCTTGGAGAGGGTGGTTCAGGCGGGAGACCCAGCCCTGGGTCCCCTGCTGTGGGGTCCAGAAGCCTGGGCAGGGCTGTGTGCAAGAGCTGAGGGGCACTGGTCACCGGGAGAACTTGGCACCCCTTGCTCAGCCCTATCGCCGCCCAGATGTGCCTGCGATGCCTTTTTCTCTGGGGGCCTCCACTCCAACTGCTGTCCCTCACTCTTGCAGGCCAGCGTCAGGCCCTCCCTGCCACCCTGGGATCTGGAAACTCACTCTCTGGACTGTTCCCATCTCTGTGTCCCGCCTGCAGAGCGGCGGGACTTTCTTTGCCTGGCCGCTGGCCCTGCACGCACCCACTTCCTCGCGCCTCTGCGGGTGTGTGTCCTCGGTATCCTGCTGGGGCTTACCCTGAGTCCCGCCCAAGGTGCAGACGGCGGCGGCCCCAGGCCTCTCTCGGTCGCGCTCGAGCCCCGTTTCCAGCAGCATCGCGGCCACCAGGCCGAGTGGCGCGAGCTGCGCTCCTCCTAGGTCGGCGTCCCCTGGAGGGCTCGGGGCTCCCAAGTCCCGCCGCGTCGTGCGGAGCAGGGAGCCCGGGAGCCACTGAGCCGGGCGCTGTCCGCGGTGCTGAAGGAGGTGCCCGCTGCCCGCCCCGCCCGCGCGCCCGCCCACCTCCCGGGGCCCCTCTCGCCGCCCTGGTCCCCACCCCCGCCTCTGTCCCCCTCCCCGGTGCTCGGGCGGGCAGGGGGGCGCGCCTCCCTCCCTGGCTGGGTTGGGCCGCTCTCGGGGCAGCCCCCGCCCTCGCCCCCCTGAGACCCAGGGTGGCCATGCCCGCTTCTCCCTAAGCTCCAGGCCCCGCTGAGGCGCTGGGATTCGCCGAGATTCGCAGCAAGCGGGTTGTCCAGCCGCGGGGCAGGAGGCTGCTGACCCTCCCCTTCTGGCGTGCAGCCTCTGGAAAGCAGTGCACAGGCCGTGCCCCAGGGCAGCCCCTTGTCTGATCACCTCCAGCCCAGGGCTCACTGGGGCACTCTCCTGCAGGTGTTTTGCTGGTCGAGGAACTTTCCACTCTTAACCTCCTTGAACTCAACCTCCAAATTCTGGGAGGAGCTCAGCCCGCACCCCTCAGGCTGCCAGGAGGAGGGGCACCTGCAGCCCCCCCAACGAAAGCACTGCTCAGGACTGAAGACCTTGGGCACAGGCAGGGCCTGAAGGAATTGCCCAGCACACACCCAGGCTGGCGTCTGTTCCGTGCCTGCCGAGGGACTGAGTTCCTGCCGGCCTCTGCACAGCCTGGCCAGGGAGTGCCAACAGGGCTCCTCCAAAGCCACAGACCAGACTGTTGGAGACCACTGCCCCGTCCCCACTGGCACAACAAAAGTGCGGGTGGGGCAGTGGTCAAGGGGTCAAGGGCACCCCACAGGGCACCACAGACTCAGCCTTAGCGGGACACTCAAACCCAGGAAGCAGAGGGGTGGCCGCTGACACAGGCTAGGTTCGTCTGAGGTGCCCTCAGGCAGGGCTGCCGCGCGTGCACTTTGAAGTGTGTAGTTTACATGCATCTCAGCTGCCCTTTAATCTGTGTAAAATCAAGGGTCTTGTCCTGTGACAGTCTCCCGCAGATCAGCTCCGGGGAGACGATCTATCACTGATTTCCATCTGTCACTTTCCATCTCACCCTTGGGCTGTCTCCTTCGACAGAAGAAATTCTAGGATTTCAGATGTCCAGTACGTGAACAGAAAGAGGGGTCCATTCTGCACCCACCGCCTCTACCACAACTCCCATTGGTAGAGCTGGTTCACATTTCAAAAGAATCACCATGTTTTCAAATGTCAGATTTCTTTATTAAAATGTGCACAACATAGTTTAAATACAAAATGTTCACTTTCCTTGCAGGTAAGAAATTTCACTGACATTTCCATGTCGATTTGCTTCTTTTTAATAAAAATCCTTCCATTGAAAATAAATAAGCATTTAAATTACTGAACTATTATATTCATTAGTCTCAATACCTCTTAAAATACTTAAAACTTTAGAAAATAGACTCTAAACATTGCCTAAAGGCGGCATCCAGCTCTGAGCAGGCCACACGAGGTGTTTGGGCATGGCATTGCAACCCGAGGCCACCTCCACAATGGCCCAGCCCCACCACGGACGCTCTGCTGAAAATCCTGCCCCTCAGCAGGACACAAGCTTGTCCCCCAAATAGTGGTGACCTCGAACTGCAATATGAGGAGGAAACCTGCAGCCAACACTGCCCTCCACAAGGGTTTCTGGAAAGGCTGAAGCTGGAGACGAGACGGTAAACCACGACACCATCCCAGGCCACCCCAGGCCACCCCAGCTGAATATATTCAACACTAGCCAAGAGGCAAAAGTTTAGTTTAAAGGGTTCAAAGGCAAATACACTGAAACCCATGTGTAAACCTGCCTGGTTTTCAAACTGAAAGAGAAACACTTTGGTTTCTTCAATAACCCAGGCCTGCACTGGATGAAGCAACGAAGGCAAGGTCATGGCTGCTAAAGCACAGAGGGGTTAAAAAGTGTGAAACCATAAGCAACTCTCGAGTGAGAGACGTGAAGCAGGAGGCCGAGGCACCACACACCTCTCCCACCACACACCTCTCCCACCAGCTGCAGGGCCCTGGGCAGCGTTCTCAGCCCAGCCATTCTGTGACAGTTGTTTAAGGAATCAGCTGTTGACTTTTTTTCTTTAGTGGCAACAATCACATCAATATTACAGGGGTCTTACGAATACATCCATGTGATCAACTCGTTAGTAAACACAAGAGTACACAACATAAAGTAGGCAAAGCGGAAAAAATACTTACAACTGTCAAAGTCTCTCTCTCACACACACACGCACACACGGGCACACAGATACATGAGAGTCTATTTTAGCCAAATCAAATTTTGCCTGTGAGACACACCAACAGCCACAAAGAATCTCAATATAAATGTTCCCAGAAATAGTGTATTTGTTTGTTTAAATCTTCAGAGGCAACTGACCACTAAATGTTTTGGGTTTAAAAACAATGTTTAAAATTATGAAATGGTAAAAGAAATCATGACCAAAGCCTGGGAGATCAGTGCCTGTGTGGAGGCCCTTCCCAAAACAGCTTCAGGCAAAGCAGCCTGGTGCAGGCCCCTGTCACCTCCGCCCCTCCAGGGGCCCAGAGTGAGATGCTTGAGTGTGTGGCAGACGCCTCTGGTGCTGGGTGACGAGCAGACAACACAAGGGGCTTTAGAAGTCTCCCTGGGGCCTGTGCTCCCAAGGGCAGACCGCTCTCCTCCCCACCCCCCAACAGAAGGGCCTCCGCTCTGAGCACTGCCCACTGATCCCAGAGCTGCCCTCCAGGGACCAGTGGCCAAATGGCCTCCATTTACCTGCCTCTCTCTTGTCACCAGATAGACAAAGGCGCTGCCTCTGAGGGTTAAATGAGCCGCCATCCTTCCAACCCCCAAGTCCACTGCCCGAGGCCTCGGGGGGTTATTTTCTGAAATGCGGCACAGCCACAGAATTCCGTGGCTCCGCCCCTGTTGAATTCCTCACATCTGGTGTGAAACACCAAGAGCCCTCAGGAGCCTGCCCTAGGGAAGCAGCCACAAGCACAGGATAGTCCCTGGAACTCTGCTCTGTCCCTGCCTGGCCAAAGGAAAACACTTGGCAGCTAGGGGCAGGGGGCAGGGGGCGCAGGGGAAGCTGGGGGGGCAAGGGAGTAGAGGGTGCAGGGGGTGCTGCGGGGGGAGCTGGGAGCCGCGGGCGAGGTTCTTCTCCAAATACAAAAAGAAGGCCTTGCAGGATGAGGCAGAGTCGAGGAAACGAGATGAAAGTGTGTGGGGAACGCTATTTGGCCTGGACTCCCCACCCTCTTTTTTAGATCTAGAAGAGTAAAAATACCGAAGTCTTTTTGCTGTAGGACCTGCAAAAGGAGCATGAACAGACTTGAGTATGCCAGGAATGCAAACATTCCCACAAAATTACCCCGTGTTCTTCCCTTGTTAGAAGAGCGTTTGTAAAACCAGGCCTTGGAAGCCAAAAGGTGCCATCCGACGTGAAAGCAGGCCCACATGTTTATAAAATCCCTGATCATAAATGTTAAAGCTGCAGGTGGCACAGGGCAGGGCTGCCTCCGAGGGAGCTTCCGCCATGGCTGGCAGCGCCCGGGCACTCACACGGCCGGGTGGTGGTGCTTGACCTTCCACCGCCTGGACCTCACCCGGAAGAAGAAGTACATCACCATGAGGAATAGGGACGAGGCCACGTACAGCACGACACAGAGACTCATGTCCAGGCTGGAGAAGTCAACCCCGAGGAAGGGTGCAGCGCCCCCCACCTCCTTGTGGGCCCCGGGCCCATCCGGATCCTGGAGTTTCACGTCCAAGCTGTGGTGCAAGCTGTCTGGAAGGGCAGGCCTGGGGCCCAGCGCACTGGGTGGACGGACGCTCTGGGCGTCTCGGTCTCCACGGGACATCTCTGGGGGAGCGAGTCTTTTCTCCTCTTCCTCACCCCTGGCCAGGGCTCCTCCTTCACCGGAATCCCCCTGGTCTGCAGAATACGCGTCTAAGAGGTTGTTGCGGTTGTAGTGCTGCTTCAAGAACGTGAGCACGTGGCCTTCATCCCAGCTGGCCAGGCCCTTAATTTCCTCGTGGCAGGCTGGGCAGAGGTCCGGAGTGGGCCACTGAAGCTTTGGAAACCTGGGATCCTCACTCAGATGGCCTAGGAAAGAAAGGAAGCGGGAGAGCCCGAGGAAAGGGGGCTTTGTGGAGCCACGTGCAGCGTGAGGCAACCGGACTCCCACTCCCACCACCTCGGGCCTCCGCTGCCCCGGCCCAGGGTCCTGCCAGGCCTCCCTCCCTGCCCTTCCCACCACCCTTCCCTTGCAGTGTGGCCCAGGTAACATCTTGCTTCTGCAGGCCCCTGCGCACGTGTTCCCCTCTGCCGGTTCCCATGCCTGCAAGTAAGGGGACGCTACACGCTCAGCCTCCGCCACCTCCCGGACCGCACCTGTCCCAAACCACCCAGCACTCTGCTTCCAAAACGGAGCATGCAGCTCTCACCTCGAGGCCTTTGTCCACACAGTGCTGCCTGTGTGCCCCTCCCCTCACTGCTGCCCCTCTGCCCTTTCCTGAGGGTGCACCTGAGGACCACTACCCAGTGCCCCGGCCACCTGGGCTCTATGGACAGCGGGCCTCAGGTGCACCTTCAGGAAAGGGCAGAGGGGCAGCAGTGAATTTCCACTGCACTTCAGATACACGGGCCCTTTCCAGACTACAAATCCCTTCAAATCTCCAAAACTCGTTTCCAAAGTGACACCTGCTCACTCCCGGGCCCAACAGGCATCCGTCATGCAGAAGCCGTGGCAGATGGCGCCTCCCAACTCTCGGAGCCCCTGCGAGGCGACTTGCTGACGCCCGGCCACCCTCAGAGAGCTTCCAGAAGTGAACGTAAACTCAACCACGTTTGTTTGGGGGACTTCACACGTGCCTGAAATCAAGAGATGCCCTGCTCGGGCCAGTCACTGACTGCCTGTCCTGCTAACCAGTGCCAGGTGTTGCACACGAAGCCAGAGGGGACAAGCACAGACCAGCGGCGCTTGGTCAGAAGCTACCAGGGCCTCACAGGACTGTGAAGTAAGGCGCGAGTCCTGGGCAGAAGACCCGGGGCAGATCTCCGAGGGGCCTCCCAGGAGCTCGAGTCTCGAAGCACAGGCTGGAGGTGGGACTGGGTGGGGCAGGACTCTCGGGAGGGACAGTCACACCGGCTGTGAGGCCCCTTTCTGCTGCAGCCTCATGACTGGAGTGGTGGAGGCACACGCAGGCTGGGGCCACAGGGAACAGCAGGGGCTCCAGGTCCAGGCAGGCCTGGTGAGGGTCCTGGTCCTACTGCCTCAGAGCCGATGGCTCAGGGAAAGCACACGGAGCGCTGTGGGCGGCGGCGATGCAGAGGCTGCCAGGATGGAGAGGCGGAGGAGCTGCGCTGACCCAGGGAACAAATCCCACAGACACGCGGTGCCTTCGCCACATGACCCCGGCCCCGGCAGTCAGGCTCAGGCCAAAGAAAAACCAATTTCTTTAGTGCTTCAGCTGTAATATGTTTTTCTAATACAGTGGATTAAATAGAAACCAATAGTTTAGTGGCATTTTCTATTAATCTCTATTAAGATTTATTTCTCAGTGGAATTATTTTTAAGCCTAATTTTAATCTGCCACTGATTTAGGAACAGTTTGAAGTACTTGACTCTGAGAAAACACATGTGCTCTATTTAATTATTTTTTTTTAACAAAACCACTTTGAGAGATTTGGTTTACGTTTGGACAACAAATTTTCATGCTACTAAAATTCCTCGTCAAAAATTAATTATGTTCCAAGCTTTCCAGAGTCAAAAACATCCTCAGAGTCTAACGGGTTACCAGTGGGTACTAATGGGGGAAGAAAGAGCCACGAAACATCCTCAGAGTCTAACGGACACCAGTGGGTACTGATGGGGGAAGAGCCACGCCCATTCCCACGAGGGTCCAAGAGCCCCCCCGAGTGAGAGAACCATCTAGAAAGCCGGGGACAGAAGCAGCCTGGGAAAGGCTGCGGCTCTGGCAGCTCCCAGCCACCCAAGTCCTGATCCCATCAGCACAGTGGGTGGCACGAGGCCGCAAAGCTCAGGCACCAGCCCCACCGCAGCCGTGCCATCCGTGCTGTCCCAG